AACGCACAACTAACACCTCAGGTTCGTTTTTACTTTTTTTTTATATGACGCAACGTGTAAAAATGGTCTAACCAATGAGATTGGTGAAAATTTACTTTATTTTTAAAAGGGAACCACGTCTCGCATTTCGATGAGGAGAGCGTTTGTTTAGAGGAACAATCCAGAACTTTCGCCCGATTGCTTTTTCATTCATCCTTCAGCTTATAGGAACTCAAAATGGGCACCTGCACACTGGGACGATTATCGTGAGCACTTTTCACAATGTTTTCAGCACCTAAGACTCGTTTTCTGGCATGATGTACTTTAAAGACTATTCAACTAAAGTAATTGGTAAAGAAATAATTGTAAAACTGTACTTATGTAACTGTACTTGGTAATTCTTTGCTTAATTCTGAAAGGTAATTACCTTAGTTTCGTTAAGTAGCTACATGCAGGAATCCCTTTCATTCGTCCTCAGCTTATAGGAACTCAAAATGGCCATGTGCACACTGGGACGATTATCATGGCAACGTTTTACAGCTAAATAAACGTTTTGCACTCTACATAAAGAATGCTAATGCGAGTGTGAGCATCCATGTGTAAAATACCAGGCGCGTATAAAGCGAGAATAAAATTTTTTGGCATGATGTGCCACGGTAAACACAGTCCCACCAATGAGACTTGTGAAGACATTTACTTAATTGTGAAAGGTAATTAGCTCATTTTTTAAGCAGCTATAACTAAATGCACTTTTTATTAAAATTGAATTTGTAAAATTACGAAATCATCAAGACGATTATAACTGACGCTTAACGCCTCGTGACTAAAAGAAGAGAGTTAACATGAGTGTGATGCACAAAATATGCACTGATATGCCAAAAAATCATCACACACACGAAAAAAAAAAACACCTCGAGTTCGTGTTTTTGGGTTTGACGCAGAGCGTTTAAAACTGTCTGACCAATGAGATTAGTCAACACATGTACTTAAATCTGAAAGGGACTCAATTACCTCAGTTTTTTATGCAGCTCTTTTTATTTAAAAAAAAACATTTGTAAAATGCCTCGGATTTATTTTTTGGCAAGAAGCGCTGTGATAAAACTGTCTGACCAATGAGATTTCGTTAACTTTTTATTCCATCTTACGCTTCATATTTTTATTGTTTTATTGCATCTTTTATTGTGCTGTTTTGCTCGCCTTGTGTTGCTTGTATTCTGCCTGTAGCGCTTTGAGTTTAAGAAAAACGCATTACAAATACAATTTATTATAATTATTATTACTGTGAGGGTGGGGGTGGACGGTAATAAAATACAATAAATTGAAAATTTAATAAATAATAGAACCAATTCTCATTAACTTCCGGCCGCAAACCATATCTGATCTAGCAATAACCATGTCAAAGGCGTAATGCTGCGAAGCGCCACCTTGTGTTCTGAAGTATTTCTGTTTTGCATTAAGCGCCATCTAGTGTCAGGGAGGGATTTTGCACATTCACTCAACTGGAAAATCAGTGGAAACTAATGGCAAAAATCTCTCCAAAAATGCTGGAGATAAACAAGTAAAGATCACCACAGTGTGCAGGAGGCCTGACAGCACTAGTCCAGTGTAGAAACAGCATAACAGGACACACCAAATACACTCTTTCATTCAGAGGTGCTGCAAGCGTTATGAAAACATTATTCCTTAATGTCCTCACAGCGTTCTTCTGGGTTCTGCGTGTGCTAACAGAACAATGTGATCATGTTGAACATTATTGGATATTCAAACATTATTGGTACGCTACTTATGAATGTTTTCTGAATTAATCTATAACAACTAGTGCTGAACAAAGATTAATAATGATTAATCACATCCAGAATAAACATTTATTTTGACATAACACATCTGTGTGTATTCAACACAATCTCACGGCAGTTCGTAACTTTTTCATTTAGTGGCTTATTCGTATGAATTCGTAAGATCTAATTCGTACAATTTAGTACGATTTGCGTATCCCCCAATGACGGTTGGGGTTAGGGGTGGGGTCAGGTGCCACGCCTCCTTTTTAAAATCGTATCATTTCGTACGACTGAAATCGTACGAATTCGTACGAATTAGCCACTAAACTGGCAAAACGTAAAATACTTACGTTTTCTTGTGAGATCAGGCTGGTGTATTATATTTATGACGTATTATGTGATACACACAAATACAAATAAACAAAACTATAGAAAACTATTTTGGAACATAGATATTTCAATTGATATATATTTGAATAATTTATTTGATATCTAAATATAAAGAAACTTTTTCTCAAATATATGCATGCATGTGGGCGACGCAGTGGCGCAGTAGGTAGTGCTGTCGTCTCACAGGTCGCTGCTTCGATCCTCGGCTCAGTTGGCATGTCATTGATTCATTCTCTATTCGGCTTAGTCCATTTATTAATCTGGGGTCGCCACAGTGGAATGAACTGCCAACTTATCCAGCTTGTGTTTTACACAGCGGATGCCTTTCAGCTGAAACCCATCACTGGTAAATCCACACACACTCATTCACACACGTACATACACTATGGACAATTTGGCTTACCCAATTCCCCTATAGTGCATGTGTTTAGACTGTGGGGGAAACCAGAGCACCCAGAGGAAAAAGGGCAGAGTATGCAAACTCCACACAGAAATGCCAACTGATCCGACCGAGGCTCGAACCAGCGACCTTCTTGCTGTGAGGCAATAACACTACCTACTGCGCCACTGTGACGCCGTGTGCATTTATATATAATAAATATATAACACACACACACAAACACACACACACACACACACACACACACACACACACACACACACACACACACACACACACATTATGTCAAAACAAAGTTTTATTTTGGATGTGATTAATTGCGATTCATTTTTGCCCAGCACTAATTATTATATTAATATTATTATTATTATTTTTGAATGTTATATTCATGTCCAACAAAAGATTTTCAGAAACACACACACAGTCACTCAAGCCTTTTCTAATATCTCTAATAAGTCATTTTTCCACCACAGTATTTTCCTATATGCTTTTTCTGGAGAAAGTCTTGCTTCTTCTAGTTTTGCTGGAATATATATGTATATTTTAAATGTAAAAACTGCTAAGGTCAATATTATTAGTTATGATAATTAATAATTTTGTCCTCAACTGCATCATGAAGGAAAAACACTTGGAGAACATTAGAAGAAGGAGCATTCAGTGTTATCCGGCCTTTAGTTATAGCACTGGAAGAACATGTTCTCTTAGTTCATTATATGAACATTATGGG